CCTCCTCCTCCTCCTCCTCCTCCTCCTCCTCCTCCTCCTCCTCCTCCTCCTCCTCTTCTTCTTCTTCTTCTTCTTCTTCTTCTTCTTCTTCCTTTAAACAACAGCTTGGCTTCCTCACACCAATCAGAACTCAGCTGAGGGGCTGGAATGTAGTTCGGTGTTAGCGCGCTGGCACAGTGTCCTGAGGTCCTGGGTTTCATACCCAGTGCCACAGGGCAGGGAAGGAAGAAGAAAAAATTCATTTGACCTGAGCAAATGAATTTCCTAATTTATTATTTGTAAGCAAAACTGCAAACTGGGAAGCCCCTGTGGGCAAGAGTGTTCTCAATGGCAGGTGCTGTGATGAAACCCCAACATCTGCAAAGAGGACTCACACAGATGTGGCAAGTAAAATATTTTATTTGCCTAACTCCTTACTTCTGCATAACCTTAAATGTTCCACTGTGTAGGCTCCTGTATACTAGTGAAGAAGAAACACCAGATAACGATGGCCAAACTCAACCTGTAGCCTGGATTTTTAGACTGTAAGCTGAGAACCGTTTTGACAATTTCAAACATAGAAAGAGAAAGAAGAATGGAAAACAGAAGCCACTGGGCCTGCAAAGCCCCAGATATTTGCCATCTGCCACCGGAGGAAGGACACACAGAGCCCGGGGACCTCTTACAGGCTGGAGACAATGTACTCTCATAAATGTCGGCTTCACTGCTTACCACTCATATGAATCTGAAATGTGCATGGAAATGCTGAAACAATAATTTTAGCTCTAGACATCTCACTAGCCATCAATAAATGTTACAAAATAATAATAACAATATAGCCTCCAGGTTGAAAGAGCTGGTAGCTTTTAGAACATGCATTGAATAATCTAATGAGAACCTAGTTAGAACGAGATCCTGTATATCGGCATCTAAAAGCAAGAGAAGAAAACTCTGTCCATAGTAAATGTAACTGTAGTCCCACGACTTGACTCCCCATTAGCAAAGGACAGCAGAGGGTTCTCATGCAGCTGGTCTTTAGGGGCTTCAGCTGTCTGCACTCACTGTCAAAGCTGGTATTTCTAAGACAGAAGGGATAGAAACAATGATACCTTAAAATGTGAGCAACCACGGCTGGCCCGTACCAATCTCCAGCCTTTTTCCCAGACTTCTTGCCGAACTCTATGAGTCGATGTAAGCCGAAGACAGACAGAGGGGAGTCTCCAAACCAAGAGACAATTTTCCTGTGACAAATCTCGTTCTGCGCTGCAAGGTCGTCAGGATGCTTCCTGATCGTTTCCTTCAGAGAAACTGCTGGAGTTCTGAGCTCCCTTTCCCCTGAAAGCGAGGCTTCAAGTGATGCGGTAAACTTTTTGACGGTGTTGGAAGTCCACGAGTCAGAGTCTGAGTTCTCGATGTGCAGTGCATCGGGCCAGGTCCAAGCTATAGCATCAAAAATATACATATGCACATATATAACAACACGCACAACACATATTCCTAAGTAGGCAAGTATGTAAATATAACCTGTTCACTGCATATAGTGTATGTATATGAACACTTGGTAAAAGTTGCCTTGAAAGAGGAAAAAAAGTATGTCAGACACAAAGGTGCACACCTTTAATCACAGCACTTAGGAGGCTAAGAAAAGCTGACCTCTGTAAGTTCAAGGCCAGCCTGATATACACAGTGAGATCCTGTTTCAAATAAAGAAAGAAAAGAAGAAGGAAGAAGAGAGGGAGGGAGGAGAGGGGGTAAGGGGGAAGGAAGGGAGGAAAAAGGAGAAAGGAAGGAAGGAGAGAGAGAGAGGGGGGGAGGGGAAGGGAAAGGAAAGAAAAAAAGAAAAGAAAAGAAATGAAAAGAAAAGAAAAGCATGGTAACTCCAGGACTTGCTAGGCTGAAGCAGGACAACTAGACATTTGAAGCCAGCCTCACCTACACAAGGAGAACTTGCTTTGAGAAAAAACAGAAACAGTGGAATGGAGGTAGAGCTTTGTGTTTGCCTAACATGCTCAAAGCCCTGGAATTTATCCCCAGTACTGAAGAAAAAATAAAAAGACAGCAGGAAAAAAAGAGGAAGGAGGAAGGAAAGAGAAAGAATGGGAAGGGTGGTGGCAGCAGTGCTCGGGAGGCCCAGGCGGGGGCAGGGCAGGAAGGCATTCTGGACCAGACTGAGCCAAACAGCAAGACATGCTTATAAAACAAAAGAATAAAGATATGAGCAACAAGAATATGGTGATGTCGATGATATATGTGCACGACTCTGTAACATCTAAATGTTCTAACTGGGGACACACTACATGTAATTAAGGGAAAGTCACAAAAAGAAAGGCTGGAAATGGTGAGCTGCTGAACTCAGGTACAAACGGGCACTCTTTCAATAACAAAGACACCTGTACTCCACTGACACAGGTCTAGACACAGGAAAAAAGAAAACACTTATTAATGTTTATAGTACTCTGAGTAGTTATCTTAAGACAGGAGATTAGTTTTGATTACCTGTTTTAAAGAAGAGGAGGAGGCAGAGGAAGGAGAGGAAGAGGAGGAGGAAGAGGAAAGGAAGAGGAAGAGGAAAAAAAGGAGAAGACAATTGAAATTTTTACTTTTCTTTAAGATATTTCCCTGGTCCCTTCCTTCAGAACACCATGATGCTTTGTTACAGAATAGCTTCTGTTAGAGAATAATAGTTTTCTAGTAAATTAAAAGCTAATGAATAAATCCAGGAAAGCTATAAGATCTAAACACAGCAAATATAACCATTACTTTACTGTTTTTAATAACGCAGCAATCTTCAAACGTTAAACGTTATTTGTAGGTTAACGAAACAGATCATTTTGAATCTAGACTAAGTCACAGGTTCAGAGATCTGTTCAGGAACAAACATTCCCATCCCTGCTCATGAGTACACAGGACCACAAACAAATCGGTCCCTCAAACTGGTCTGAACTAAGTCTTACTTAGCTGTGTTTAGGGCACACTTCTGGCATATGACCAGGACCCTGAGTTCAATCTCCAACATATAAACATTTTAAAAATTAAAAAAAAAAATTCCTCGTATCTGTCACACTACTCATTAACTTTTTTGCTAAGTGACTTCAATCATCTACAGAAGAGTTAATAGCACAGGGATACTGTCTAACAATTTAAAGACATCCGATATTTAGTAGTGTCTAGAGATAAGAGCCTAAAGTGGTAAAAACAAAACCCTCTTACAAATGTATACATTATTTGAAAAAAACTGATAGGAAAAATGACACTAGAAAGTAAATACAAGTAAGCTGTCAATGGCAAAGAATATCAATGAGATTTCTGAGGGTTGAAAAGTCTAAGCACGGGGGCTGGAGGACGGATCAGCAGTCAAGAGTGTTGCTGCTCCTGCGGAGGACAAAGGTTCTGTCCCCAGCACCTATGCTGGATAGCTCATAAGTGCCTCTAACCCCAGCTCCAGAGGATCTCCCATCTCCTTCTGGCCTCCACACATTTATTTATTTTAATAGATCATTATAGCCAGGTATGGTGGCACATGCCCAACACTTGAGAGACAGAGGCAGACGGATCTCTGTGAATCCAAGGTCAGCCTACTCTTCATAGTGAATTCCAGGCCAGTTAGGGCTAAACAGTGAGACCCTGTCCCAAAAACTAGTAATAATTAAAATAATATAGAAAATTATAGATTACTTATAAAGATAAAATTTTCAAAATACTACTGACATGTACAGAGAAAATAAACCAGAATAAAAATTCTTCTGCTTAGGACTGAACGAGCTGGAGACACTCCAGAGAATTCAACTAAAATAACAGAATGTGAACTAAATTCACTGTGGTGGATGGATGGCCACGATGCATGCACAGGTCTGAAAGGAGAGTCAGGAGCACGTGTGTAAGATGGTCAGCTCAGCTCAATCCAAATGCAGAAGGCAGATCAGCTCTTAGGATTAACCTCAGCATGTTCTACACAAGCTGTTGATCACAGTCAGGACAGCAGCAGCCGGAAATAGAGACTTGATTTACCTCTACCAAGAAAGTGTAGTATGAGCCCTTGAGCCAAGAGCATCTGGCCAGTCCTCAGCGTACAGCCCCAGCCACAGTCTGTCGTCAAGGCTGAGGCTTCTATTTGAGGAAATTCTTCCCTGTAGGTCAGCCAAATTCTAGAAATGAAATCCTTACGGAATTCCTCCACATTTCCTGCAATCACATGCTCTTCAATAGTACATCCTGATCTCGCAGGCAACATCTTGTCTTCATCTACAGAATTTTTAAAGACACAAGTTATATAGTATAAAGATAGTTAAAGACGCAAGCATAATGGTAATATCGCCACTGTTTTGTTATAAATCACAGAACAACCTTTCTGATCTTTTCTGTTCATTTTAAAAGGAATACAAGTGTTACACTGTCTAATCAAATGAGAATGAACCCTGAGGTGTTTGTCCGCTGCAGGAAATCAATCCAAGGATTAACAGCGATGCTGCTCCTAACAATGGCCATCTGACACCCTCGTAAAATCACTCTTGGATGAGGGGGCATTGTAAAATATCTTTCTTTTTACCTCCGATGGCCCAAGACACACATATTACAGCTCTGGGAAATGTTTCTTGAAAATAACAAGTCATGACTTGTCAATATGCAAAAAATATGTACAGTCATATGAGTTAATACTTGAAAAGTGTGCATCGTATTGACATGAATATTTATACTCAAATTATAAAGTCAAAACCAATAAGCTATGGAGTAAGAATATAAAATTCTTAAAACACAAATGTCCTCTTAGGTTCACATATAATTTTTCAGAATTTGTTGCCACCCACAAGTATCATTTTAAAGGTCTTGACAGACTGATTACCTCTAGCACAATTACTATGAAAAAGCCATTGTTTGCCCAATACTTTACAAAACTCTATACTTGAAATGAGCTGACATCAACCTTACCTTTTACCTGCAGCTGGAGACCCTGCTCAGCATTAGTAGATTCTGATAGGCATTAGTAGATTCTGATAGGTATTAGTGCTGGCTGGCTTGGATGTGTACAAGCTACACCTCTCAATTCCAAATTGAACATCCAAAGTAGGATGTTAAAGGCTGAGAGTTTCACAATGCACTCTCTCTTCATTCTTCCTGCACCCATCCCTCTCCTTCAGTTCATTGTGAAAAATTCCCACTGCTTTAACGTCATACGTATTCAGCAGATGATAATAATGACTGCCAAGCCTCTGTTGACATGATTCTCTCTCAGTATTATATAGAACTTGAAGTTAGTTACAAATAAAAGTGCCCGGAAATTAAACATGGCCCTACAGTATGTCTAAATATGCCACTTTTGACATTCAGATTTGTTTTAAATGTGACGCAATAGCTCCTGACTCTCATGCCTCATCCTACAAACACAGAGCTCCAATCTCCTCTCAAGAAGTAACTCATTCCTCACCTTCTTCAGACCTGGTCAACACTAAATACTACAGAGAAACATCAGCACTTAATAAACAACCAAGCGCTTGAAGAAGGAGAAATGCTTCAAAAACCACACATAAAAGGTGGGGGAAGGAAGCAAACAAATTGAATAAAATTGTTAATAATACTGGGAGTTTGATCGAACTGATTACACAATGCTAGAAATACAAGAGCTACAAAACCTACATAAATAGATGGAGACTGAAGAACACACCAGAGGGTCACTCCACTGCAACACAATTTAAGAAGAAAGCAGAGGGGAATTATGGGGGGTGGGGGTGGGGTAAAAGGGGGAAAAGGGGGGAACAAGAGCAGGGAACGGGATATATGCTCCATGAAAGCAGTAGGGAGAATGAAGCCCACCCACAAGAGGGGGAAATGAAGGAGGTGGAAAGGCAGGCAGGGAAGAAAGTTCTGGAAGGAGGCGGCACCAACAAGGCCTGATTGATTCATGTGAATTTCAGTATCGTAGAGAGGTGAGATGTGACTATCGGACAGACCCTTGGGGATGTCATCGAGGTGACCATTTCTTTTCTTTATTATCACACGCTAAAGTTACCACAGAACTTAACAAAGAATACACGCACATCAACACAAGTAATATTTAGTACTTAAAGAATCAAAGTCCAAAATATGAGGGCTGCAGTGAGAAGATGCTGTGCTCCTTATCCTCAAGGGATGCACAAGGACCATACCATACAGTAACACATTACGTCATACAAGGTGTAGGTGGTTAACAGGTCCAATCAGTTTAATCCGGAAATTTAGCAATGAAATTCTTCAAATATTTTTTAGTACTTTACATGTTTATCACTTACCTTCATATTTAAAATGATAACATTTTCCAAGTAATAAAACCGGTGAGTTTCTACTAAAATACGTCTTTGTTTTCAACACCCAACCTGCATGGAGAGAAAGAAGGCTCTGGCGTTAAGGTTTCAAGGAAACAAGCCTACAGTGTTTCTTTCCTCCTAATTGACTTCAAGTCATGGTTATACTGTGAATATACATTTTTAGGAGTTATAAGTATTTAAGACAATGGGCTAAAATTAGAGGCTATTTTTTCTAGATTTAATAAATTGTGGTTTCTTTTAACCAAAATCTACCACTTAGGAAACACAGAAGACAAAGAAAAGGGTCCCAGGGCTCCTCTGGAGCAAACTGAAAAGGTGGGAACTTGGTTTTTCTCACATGGCTTCCATTCCTCAAGTAAGCAAAGATTATCAACTTTTTAAGTTGTCTTCCATCTTAGATACTCTTTAAATATGTATTTATTTGCTTATTTTATGTATGAGTACTCTATCTGCATATATGCCTTTATGCCAGAAGAGGGCATCAGATCCCTGTGAGATGACTGTGAACCACCATATGGTTGCTGGACTCGAACTCAGGATCTCTAGAAGAGCAGCCAGGACTCTAACCTGCTAAGCCATCTCTCCAGTTCCTAGCTCAGATATTTTAAAGGTGTGAAGTACTTGAAAATTCCTGGATAGAAACTTAAGGAGAGCACATAGTAGACTAGCTCGCCTGGTAAAACCACTCTCTGACGTAGCTGTCTAGATGTACATGAGTGCTCAGACATCCTCAGCTGAGCTCAATCTCCTGTCCTAAGCTCCACCTGGAGTCATGAACTCTAACTCTCCTCCTCGTCTGTCAGCAGAGGGAGAGGGGTGTTCTCATTGGCATTCACTCTGAATCTCCCGTGGAAAGCAGCGCTCCTCTACAGTACTGAGTACTGCCAAGGGTATGAAACTAAGGGTTGGGCTTGAACACGCTACAGCGGCACGTGCCAGTAACTGCTGGACTCGGGATGCTGAGGCAAGAGAAACAAATTTGAGGCCATCTTGGTCTACACAGAGAGACCCTCTCAAGAAAGAAAGCAGAGGGAATGGTTTTTTAAACACAAGGACATAAATAAACAAAGTTGACAGACGTGGGTCTAATACGCTATCTGTCTTTACATTTAACAGTTGATAACAAAAGTTTAAAAGTAGTGGTTTTTATGGGAGTGCTCCCTTAAAGCACTTTATACAAATAATGAAAAATATGTATTAAAATCATGATGATACAAGAAAGGCTCTAAGCTGGACAAGATAGAATGGGACATCAGACAACTAACCGGCCTTCATTGGCTTCACTTGGGTTACTGTGAGGTGTCAAAAATAGCTTCCCTGCTCATGGTCTATCCCCATTCTCAAAATGTCACTGCCAACTGAAACTCGCAGTGGCTCAGCCTTAGATAGATAATTTTTCTGTTCAAAAGCATCCTTCTGATGGGCCAGTGAGACGGGCCAGTGAGATGGGCCAGTGAGATGACCCAGTAAGACATATCAGTGAGATGGGCCAGTGAGAAGCCTGAGTTCAAGCCCAGACCCACATGGTGAAAGGAGACAACCAAGTCTACAGCTGTCCTCTGACTTCCACATGTGCACCATGACACATGTGCGCGCACACACACACACACACACACACACACACACAAAATCAAATAGTGGCTAGAGAAACAGCTCAGAGGTTAAGAGCAGTTGCTATTCCTAGAGAGGGCCCAAATTTAGTTTCTTGATCCCATGGCAGGTGGCTCTCAACTGCCTGTTACCCCAGTTCCTGGGGGTCCATTGCCCTCTTCTGGCCTTCACATGCACAGAACCACACTCAGACACACATGTGTACACATAATTAAAAATATACAAGTTAAAAATAAATAATTTAAAAACACCCTATTATGGGGGCTGGAGAGATGGCTCAGCGGTTAAGAGCATTGTGTGCTCTTCCAAAAGACCCGAGTTCGATTCCCAGCAATCACATGGTGGCTCACAACCATCTGTAATGAGGTCTGGTGTCCTCTTCTAGCTTGCAGCCATATATGCAAAACAAAATATTGTATCCTAAATAAAAAACACCCTATTAGCAGATTTAGCATGCTTGCGAACTTCTCGGACTCACTTAAGATTTTACATAAAGTGATACAAGTCAGAGCCCTAGTTCCACATCTGCTGGGTTACACGTCTGGAATCATGTTAACTATATGTAAAGTCATGAGCTCAATCCCCAACACCAAGAAAAAAAATGTTTTTAACCTTTTTTATGTATATGAGTGTTTTGTCTGCTTGTATTCCCCATGCACCATGTGTATACCTGGCTGCCCTCAGAGCCTGGAGAAGGTATAAGATCCCCAGAACTGGAATTACAAACAGTTGTACCCACCATGTGAATCCTACCAATTAAATCCAGGTGCTCTGTACTGAGTCATGTTTTTTTTAGTTATACACTTTAACATGTATATTTTATGTAAATACATGCCAATTTTCTTAAAGTTCAAGAAATTTTAATTTGATGTCACCTATACCAAATTACAGTTGTCTATACAGCTAGCTAACGTCACCCCCAGTGGAACAGAAGTTGAATATATCCATTACGTTTAACCTGATTTTACATCAGGGGCTTTGGCTAAAATCTGTTACATTCTTATTTTATGGGTTTGAGCATCTCGCAGAAACTAGCTTGAGGTTAATCTTGATTGCCAACTTCATGAGATCCAGAGTCAACACAGACAACACTCTGAGGGAGGTCTTTAACGGCATTTCCAGAAAGGATTAATGAGGGGAAAGGCCCTCCCCCAGAGTGGGCAGCATCCCCTAACACACATCCAGGTACAGGGAGGTCAAGGAGAAACCAGCGCATTGCTTGGCCATCAGCATGTTTGCTCTTGTCTGTTCTTGCCACAGCTGCCACCACCACAGCCACATCATCTTCTACTAAGATCAGACTCCCACTTCTTCAGACGTCCAACATGGATGGAAGACCAGCAACTCTACCTTCAGAACCAGAGTCGGCCTGCTGGGGCATCCAGCTTCATGGACTGAATATCGACTGGGTTCTTGGCCCCTCCAGCAGGCAGCCAGCTCTTGCTGGACTACTCAGGTCCTGTCCTGTAAGCCACTGTAAGGAATACCTTTCTATAGCATACAGAAAATTGGGAGCAAAAACTCCCTGCCCCTGTGATGAACCTGAACCATGTGTTTCTCAGGCCTTTGGAACTGGGTGTGTGGAAGGAATGCGGAAGAGCCCTGGACTCAGGCTAGAAAAGCCCTGAGGACAATAAGCAGAACTTAATGGGGCAGTCGGGGGGCAACACCTACAGTTTGAAGGGAACGAGAACTTTGACAGGAACAGAGGTACAGGCATTTGTGTTATGTTCTGGCAAAGACTCTAGCTGCACCGCACTTGTGTCCTGAGAACCTGGATAAGAATAAATTCAAAAGTCAAAACTAATTTGTTTGGCAGAGGAAACATATCTGGCCTCTGTCCACACGTATGTGTGCAGGTACAAACACACACACACAATCATGTGTATATGAATACAAAATAAAGTGTCATTGGGAGGGTGAAAATGGGGCTTATAGCTGCAGATAAGGTAGGTAAAGAGAAGCAGCCATGATTGCTAAGAGAACCTCTAGGAAAGAGCCCAAAGGCATAGCACCGCCCATCAAGGGCTCCACCATTTGAAAAACCAAAAATCGATTTGAAAGGAAAGAACCTAAATTGAGAACGCCACTAAACATGATTCCCTTCTCAAAAGCAGGCATCGAGGCACGCAGAAGCCACTACAGCTTCAGTCCAAGTGGGCCAGGCTGAGTCTCAAACTGGCAGAAGAACTTGGTAGAATCATCCATGCGGTACTGACTTTTCAGGCAAGAAAGATGCAAGAATGAGGACACTATGGAGACTTGTGCCAGGTCCCAGAAAGCTACAGAAGCCAGGTAATGTATGTCCGGGTCAGAGTCCCTGACCGAAGACCCAGGGAGGCCATTATAGGAAACTGTGATGATGAAGCCTCAGTTGCAATAGAAATCCCAGGATGCTGAGAGCCAGGACCACTTCCATCAGGAAAAGCTATTGGTGTGGAGTGGAGCCAGCTGCAGAGAGAAGCTATGCGTGCTGCAGGAGGCGGAGCTAGAGGAGTGGAACCAAGCACGGTAGAACCTAGATGATACCATCCTAGGCGCTGACACCTAGGTGCTGCAGGATTTGGCATCTGCCCTGCTGGGCTTCGGCGTGGCTTAGATCTGATGGTCCCTTGTATGCCTACATGCCTCCCTTCTGGAATACAATGTCATTTTGTGTCACTGTGCATCAGAATGATATAATGTGCTTGTAGGCTATGTTTGTTTACAAGTTCACAGTTAAAAGACTGCCTTAAATCTCAAAACAGACTTTGGAATTTTGAACGGTGTTGGGACTGTCAAAGACTGCGGGTACATCTAGAGACGGACTAAAATGCATTTTGCATTAATGAGATGAAAATGAGACTTTAGGGGTCAGGGGTGGAATATTATGATTTAAATGGATTTGTTTGGGTGTCAAGTTGACAAGAGGGGGAATTGTGATGGCTAATTTTTAATGTCAGCTTGACTAAATGTAGAATTACCGTGTGTGTGTGTGTGTGTGTGTGTGTGTGTGTGTGTGTGTGTGTGTTCCCAGAAACATTTCACTGGGGGGGAAAGGGTACCCTAAATGTTGGTAACACTGTTTTGAGAGGCAGCCCCAGACTTAACCAAAGGGAGAATGACAGATCACACCAAGCACACACTGGTCTCACTCTGCCCCCCGACACAGATCACACCAAGCACACACTGGTCTCACTCTGCCCCCTGACACAGATCACACCAAGCACACACTGGTCTCACTCTGCCCCCCGACACAGATCACACCAAGCACACACTGGTCTCACTCTGCCCCCCGACACAGATCACACCAAGCACACACTGGTCTCACTCTGTCCCCTGACACAGATCACACCAAGCACACACTGGTCTCACTCTGCCCCCCGACACAGATCACACCAAGCACACACTGGTCTCACTCTGCCCCCCGACACAGATCACACCAAGCACACACTGGTCTCACTCTGCCCCCTGACACAGGTACAGCGCGACTGCTGCCATGTCACACTTTCTAGAGTGTACTCTAGGCTGTGAGCCTGACAAACCCCTCCTCACCCACGGTCCTCTTGTGAGCCATTGTTCAAACCAACTAGGCAAGCACTAAAACACAGTTCAGTCTAAGGGCTTCTCCCTCCCTGGGGCTTCATCATCCCAACAATCCTGATTGGATTGGATTGTTTGGATTTTGCTTGCCAAGAAAATGCTCAAAGTCAAGTCCAGAGGCTTCACCAAGAAGAAAGGCACACACCTTGGTGAATAAACTTGACACCAGCTATTTTACCAGTTCTGTTTACTTCCTGTTTTACATATCAAACTACCTGAAATTAAATTCAAAGAACTTTAGAATTTTTTATAACCTGGGTAAATTCATATGCACATAGCCACGAGAATATCAAAATAGTCTACCAAATTAGAAAAAAAAGTGAGTTTCATGACACACATTCACTTCAGCTTCCCCGTCTGTCTCTGTCTGTCTGTCTGTCTGTCTGTCTGTCTGTCTCTCTCTCTCTCTCTCTGAGACAGGGTCTCATATACAGTCCTCACTGGCTGAACTCACTAGGTAGACTAGGCTGTCCTTGAACTCTCTATCCAGAACACTGGGATTATAGATCATGCCCACACTTCAGTACAGTACGTTTGATTCTCTAAGCGATGTTCGCGATTATATCCCACTTTCTTCAAGGAAGTCTCATCAGCACTGCTTATATTCCGTTCCCATCCCATGATCATTCCAGACACAGTAAAGTGTTTCCTTCTCTAGCAGGCTTACAACATCCTTAAATCACAATACTTACTGTATTTCATGTTGTTCCAAGCAGACATAAATTTAGATTTTAGCTTGTCAACTTCATCTGTTCCTGAAGCCTCCATATTCAAATTCTAAAGAAGAAGCCATCACACGATTCCATTCTGATATAAAATTCAATGCCCTAAAAGAAAAAAAATAAGGCAAATAAGTAATCAACACATATTGCTAAAGTTACTTAAATTATTAAATGTAATTTAAACTGAAATAAGCAAAAGAAGCTGAGGCTGTAGGCTCAGTTGGTAGAGTGTCCGCCTCGCAGGCACAAAGCCCTGGGTACAGTTCCAGGCATCACATAAACTAGGCACTGTGGCCCAGTCTGTAATCCTAGCATTCTGGAGGAAGAGGCAAGAGGATCAGAATTTCAACTTCATCTTCAGCTGCACAGTGAGCTCAAATCTGAGACTAGTCTGAGCTATAATAGCCTTGTCTTTAAAAAAAGAAAGAAACATATTTTTTTTCATTTATAGAGCTTATCTAGATATGATAGTCTATAAATAATTAACTATATAAAGCATATAACAAACTATACAAAACAAAACTATCACATAACTAAATAATAATCCTCAATAGCTCACAACTGAATATAACAAAGTAGCTGAAAAGCATGGCTCAGCTTTAATGCTTGCAAGAATACTTAGACACGCTCATTGAAACTCACGCTCATGAAAGCACTGGCTGTCTTCAGAATGGCAATCAAGATTCTATTTATAGTATATATTCTATTTACAGTAAATAAAAGCTACTAATTGCACATCATAGCTCTAGGGTAGAAGGAAACATTTTAAAAGTTAACAGAACAAGAACTCCCAGAGTGTGACTCTGCAGTGAAGCTAAAGGGTTAAAGGAGTGGGGTCCTGAAGACCACGATTCTGTGGAGTTTGGTTCATCTAATTCTAACAGCATCTGGAGGAGAGACTGGGAAAGGCTGCTACAGCTTCTCAGAAAGGAGAAGAAAACCGAACTCATCAGGTATCCCAATGGTGGAAGTCAGCAACATAACATGTCAATAATACTTTACTTGGAAATCTCTAAAAATAAACTTCTACCTTAGCAATTCATTTTTATTATTTAAATTGTTGATACCTAGCCAGGCAGTGGTGGCACATGTCTTTAATTCCAGCATTCAGGAGGCAGAGGCAGAAGGATCTCTGTAAGTCTGAGGTCAGTCTGGTCTACAAAGCGAGTTTCAGGACATCCAGAGCTGTTACACAGAGAAACCCTGTCTCGGGGGAAAAAAAATATGTTGATACCCATATGACTTCTTAAAAATCATAACCCTCTTTTTCAGCTTCATCTGGGATTGCAGGCACAAGCTGAAACCTTTACCTAAGTCTCTTAAAACATAAAATTAGGGCCCGTGAGGAGGCTCCGCAGGCAAAAGGTGTTTGCTACCAAGCCTTCCAACCTGACTTGGATTCCCAGAATCCCCATGGTTGGGGAATAAAAATAACTCCTGAAAGTTTTCAAGTTTTCCTGTGATCTCTCTCTCTCTCTCTCTCTCTCTCTCTCTCTCTCTCTCTCTCTCTCTCTCTCTCACACACACACACACACACACACACACACACACACAGCCAGCACCTTGCTGACATTGAAACCTGGTAAAATGAATCAGTCATCTTTGAAACTGAAAAACATGAGCCTGGCAGTAAAATTACAAAATCTTTAGCTTCAAATAAACAGAGGCAAGGTGTGAAGAACCTCTGGAGACACGTCCACACATTCCACGATCAGGGCCTAGGCTGGAGCCACGCATGGCACTTAATGTGCAAGAGTCTGTCATCAAGAGGATGTGACCAGCCACGGTTTCCTGCACTCCGGGAGAACAGGGCCTGGTGTTATACTACCAACCTGATCAATATAGTGATGTATAGGATAACTAGGACTTACATAGGCCCTGTCTCAAAAAAAAAAGAGAGAGAGAGAGAGAGAGAGAGAGAGAGAGAGAGAGAGAGAGAGAGAGAGGAAAGAAAGAAAGAAAGAAAGAAAGAAAGAAAGAAAGAAAGAAAGAAAGAAAGAAAGAAAGAGAGAAGAAAAAAACTGAAAATAGTAATAATGGATTGGGGAGAATCTAGGTTTCAAATAAAATCAAGAACAATCAAACCTAAACACTATGTACATAAAGGTTGTGTTTTGCTCAGAAGTGTATTTAAAAGTCATCCTGCTGAAAATTTCCACGTTTTCCTTGGAAGAACCAGGGAAGAAACAGAACAGCAGAAGCTGACCCATAACTAGCATTCTGTACTTAAGGAACTTCATTGACTTCTCACTAATTGTTCTTAAGTCTGCACTAGCACGTTTTAAATTTTGCATTCACACACACACACACACACCCACAGAAGGAAAAAAAGTCAGGCAGTGTTGGCACAAGCCTTTAATCCCAGCACTTGGGAGGGCAGGCAGATCTCTGTGAGTTCGAGGCCAGCCTGGTTTATAGAGTTCCAGGACAGGCTCCAAAGCTATACAAAGAAACCCTGTCTCGAAAGCCCCCCCCCTCAAAAAAATTGCATTTCATACCATTAGAAATAACTTTATCTTCCCAAATAAAATAGAGTATGGCCAGAACATAAGAAAATATTATAGTTTGTTGAAATACGAAGCGGCGGGGCTGCGTCCCCAACACCCCGGCCGCTTGGCTAGCTCATGCCCGAAATAACAACACACAAACTGTGTTCATTTAAGAACTGCTTGGCCCATGAACTCTAGCCCTTACAGGCTAATTCTCGCACCTGAACTAACCCATTTCTAATAATGCGTGTAAGCACCCCAAGGTGCGCTTACCGGGAAGATTCTAGCCTAAGTCCATCCTGGGGAGCATCATGCCTCTGCCTCAGGGCGCAGAGCTATCGTGTCTATCCAGCAGAGCTGAGCATGGTGTCTCTCCAGGAGCAGAGCAGAGTCTGACCTCACTTCCTCTTCCGCCCAGAATTCTATTCTGTTTTCTCCTCCCATCTATGTTCTAAGCTATGAGGCCAAGCAGTTGGTTTATTGCTCAACCAATGAAATCAACAGATTGATATGACACTCCCACATCAATAGTTGAACACAGATCATTTTTAAAGTAAAAATATTTAAATGAGCTTCCTTCTTAAAACGCTCCTGCTAAGACTAACTGAACAAATAATTTGTTTTCATATATAAAAAAAAGTCCCAGTTTCTAAATCTAACCCCTCTGTGTCACTCGGCCTCAAAAGTCCACCACTCCCATCCCAGGAGGCCTGGTCCCTGATCTGCAGAGTGTACCTATCCATGGGTCAGCCCCTGTGTGACCTGAGCTCATGACTATTTTTCTGTTGTTTTCTTATACACCAAAATATGCACATATGTAATAGTTTCATGAAACTAAAATCAAGGTAATAAATGTGTCTGTCACCTCCAAAAACATTCTCCTAATCCCCTCTTACAAAGTACAAGACTTGACAGCTACTCTTTTTTTCTTTCTCAGCATTTTATTTGTTTATTTTTCTTAAAATAGTCCAGTCAGGAGTTGCAGAGCTGGCTCAGCAGTTAAGAGCACTGTCTGCTCTTATTGAGCAATTCCCAGAACCCACACGGTGTAGCTCACAACTGTCTGTAGCAGGGTTCCAGGGGATCTGACACCATCTCCTGGCCTCCACATGGTACCTTCCATACACGCAGGCAAGACTCATACACATAATTAAAAATAAATAAATCTTAAACAAAAACCAAAAGTTTAATAGCCCTGTCTCTGGGAAGGCCACTCTCTCGTGCTCTGTCTCTGTCTCTCTCTCTCTGTCTCTCTCTCTCTCGCTCTCTCTTGTGCTCTCTCTGTCTTTTGTCTCTGTCTCTCCTCTCATGCTCTGTTTCATGCTCTGTCTCTCTCTCTCTTGTCTCCCTCTCTCTCCCTCTCTCTCGTGCTCTCTCTCTCTCTGTCTCTCTCTCTCTCGCTCTCTCTTGTGCTCTCTCTGTCTTTTGTCTCTGTCTCTCCTCTCATGCTCTGTTTCATGCTCTGTCTCTCTCTCTCTTGTCTCCCTCTCTCTCCCTCTCTCTCGTGCTCTCTCTCATGCTCTGTCTCTCTCTCGTGCTCTGTCTCTCTATGTCTCTTCTCTCTCTGTCTGTTTCTCGCTCTCGTGCTCTCTCTCATGCTCTGTCTCTCTCTGTGTCTCTGTCTCTCTCTGTGTCTCTGTCTCTATCTCTCTCTCTCTCTGTCTCTCTCTATCATTTAGGCAGCTTTCATCCAGGTTTACCTGGGGTCACAGCAGTGGTTCTCTTCTAGAGATTCCGTCACCAGGCACTCATGAAATCCAGCTTTTGTGGCCACTGTTTCTCCAGAAGCACCTTCATGACTTTACAGCAAAGACACTACCGAGTTTCTAGACAGTCAGTCAGATTCAGCTACTCAGTCATGTAGACACCACCTCCTTAATTAAACTCCCATGACAGCTTTGACTAAAGAAAATTACACAGAGATCTCTCTTGTTAATTCACTACCTTAGTTTCACCTTAAATATAAGGGTGGGCAAGGCCAGTGATGTAGCTGAGTACAAGTGCTTGCTGGGCAAACCTGCAGGCCTGATCCCCAGGCCCCATGGCCAACTTCCCAAAGCTTTCTTCTGACCTCTACAAACAAGTCACAGCATGTACACACACACACACACACACACACACACACATGCACTCTCAAAACATACCCTTTCTCTCAAAACATACTCTTTCTCTCTCTCACACACACATAGATAGACATACATACATACACACACACACACACACATGCATGCACACACACATACACCTAGTCTCTTAATACATACATCTCATACACACGAGCACACACACACAAAATAACAACATATAAATATACCATGTTTATGTTATATAATATGTATTATGTAATTTTTAAGGAAAAGTACTGTGTATTTGTCTCACTATAAAATTCTAAACTCCCCTCACTATTTCCATTTCTCTTTCCGGAAACATCCATAGGTCTTATCTGCTTCAAGACAGTCACAATATAGAACCCAGACTAGCCAGAGACTTGCCACCCTCCTTCTTCGACCTCCTGAGTACCAGGAGGGCAGGCCTGTGCCACCTTGCCCAGCCAGGGTTTTAAAAGTTAATTAATTACAGCAAATTTGTGTAAGCTTCAAGGCAAGTTACATGCAG